TCCAGCTACTGGGAAGGCTGAGGCGGAAGGATCGCCGGAGCCCAGCAGGTCGAGGCTGCGGTGGCCGGGAGCAGCCATTGCACTCCAGTCTGGGTGATCGAGTGAGACTCCAACTCAAAACAAAAAAAAAACCAAAAAACCCACAGATTTCTTGTTAAACTTGAGAAGAGTGGAAGTGAGATCAGGGACATGTTAATCCAAGTTTATGAGGATAATGCCATGAAGAAAACAGCAGTGTACAAATGTATTAAATATTTTTCTTTTTTTTTTTTTGTTTGAGTTGGAGTCTCATTCAGTCACCCAGGCTGAAGTGCAGTGGCACACTCAGCCTTGACCTGCTGGGTTCAGGTGATCCTTCCACCTCAGCCTTTCAAGCACCTGGAACTACAGGCGCATGCCACCATGCCTGGCTGAATTTTTGTGTGTGATTTATTGTAGAGACGAGGTCTCACCAAGTTGCTCAGGCTGGTCTCAAACCCCTGGGCTCAGGTAATCCTCTCACCTCGGCCTCCCAAAGTGCTGGGATTACAGGCTGAGCCACTATGCCCGGCCTAAATGTTTTTCTGAGAGTAGAGAAAGTGTCACTGATGAAAAGAGGTCAGGATGGCCAGTAATGAGCAGAACTGATGAAAACATTGCAAAACTTTATCCAATCGTGTGTCAAAATTGTCAGCTGACTGTGAGAAGCATAGCAGACCAAATAAACAGCGATAGAAAAACAAGAAAAAATGTTTTTGTTTTTTGAGTTTGTGTCTCACTCTGTCGCCCAGGCTGGAGTGCAGTAGTATGCTCACAGTCACCTTAGCCTCGACCTGCTGGGTTCAGGCAATCATTCCGTCTCAGTCTTCCAAGTAGCTAGAACTTCAGGCATGCGCCACCACACTTGGCTAATTTTTTGGATTTATTGTACAGATGAGGTCTCACCAAGTTGCCCAGGCTACCTCAGCTTCCCAAAGTACTGGGATTGTAGGCATGAGCCACCATGCCCAGCTGGAAAAATCTTAATGGAAAATCTTGGCATGAGAAAGGTGTGTGCAAAACTGGTCCTGAAGGAGCTCTTGCATCTCGACAATGCAACCAGCTCACACAGCCCTGTCTGTGAGGGAGTTTTTAGCCAGTAAACAAATGACTATATTGGAATACCCTCCCTACTCACCTGATCTGGCCCATAATGACATTTTTCTTTACCGGAAGATAAAAGAAATATTGAAAGGAAGATTTTGATGACATTCAGGACATCAAGAGTAATAAGATGACAGCACTGACGACCATTCCAAAAAGAGTTCCAAAACAGCTTTGGCGAGTGGACTAGGCACTGATGTCAGTGCATAACTACCCAAGGAGTACTTTGAAGGTGACTGTGGTGATATTTAGCAATGAGGTATGTACACTTTTTCTAGGATGAGTTCGTGAGCTTAATTGTTAGACCTCATACACATTAGGAAGACAGAAGTTACAAGGGACCATAACAGGACATATGAGATTATACTGGTTCTATCCAGGAAGGTGAGGTATTTCTAAAGGAGAGAGGGGTTGCAGGTTATAGGTGTATTCAAAGATTTCCTGACAATTAGTTAGCTAGAGTTATCCGAGGAATTTTGAAAGTAGTAAAAGAAATGGGCAGCTTTTGAAGAATGAGAAGGGACTCAAGTTTCTTGATATGTAGATGAAGCCTTATGGATGACTTCAGAGAGAATAGGTAAGTGTCTGAAGAAATGCCCAAGCTGGACACGGTGGCTCATGCCTGTAATCCCAGCATTTTGGAAGGCGGAGGTGAGAGGATTGCCCGAGCCCAGGAGTTCCAGACCAGCCTGGGCAATACAACAAGACCTTGTCTCTACAGAAAATAAAAAAATTAGCTGGGAGTGGTGGTGTGTGCCTGTAGCCTCAACTACTTGGGAGGCTGAGGTGGAAGGATTGCCTGAGCCCAGGAAGTCGAGGCTGCAGAGGCCGTGAGCATGCCACTGCACTTCAGCCTGGGCCACAGAGTGGGACGCCAACTTAAAAAAAAAAAAAAAAAAAAGCCTGTCTTTCAAGGTCCTTTAGGAATTTGACAAAATAAAGAAAAAAGGTCAGAGTTTAGTCCTCAGCTACTATGACTAATACTGCATGAATATTTATGTCAAAGGTCTCTTTGTGTAGACAGGTTTCATTTCTCAGGTGTATATATAACTAGGAGAATTGCTGTATCAAATGGTAATAAAGCCTACCCCTTTTGGGGAACTTCCATGCCGTCCTCCACAGCAGCTGCGCCATTTTACATTCCCACGAGCGGCATATGAAAGTTCCAGTTTCTGCACAGTCTCGGTGCAAAGGCCGATTTTCTGCAACCGGGATTGAGCTCTCCCCCCACGGAGCCAGCCTCAGCTGCCAAGCTCCGCGCGCAGGCGCACTGGAGTGCTGGCGCGCCGCCGAGGCGGGACGTGCAGCCGCTAGGAGCGGGGCTGCGATGCGCAGCGTACGTGCCCCGGAAGCGGAAGCCAGCCCGGCTTTCCCGGCGGCCGATTCGAGGGCTTGATTTGACGAAAGCCGCTGCTCCCAAGAGCTGCGGCCGAGCGGATCATGCCGTCCGAGGGCCGCTGCTGGGAGACCCTGCAGGCGCTGCGGAGTTCCGACAAAGGTCGCCTTTGCTACCACCGTGACTGGCTGCTGCGAGGCGAGGTGAGCACTGACCCGGGAGGGGGTAGGCCCTTCCAGCCCCTCGCGAGGGTACCCAGCTCTTCCCTCCCCTTGTGTTCTAACAACCCGCAATGATTCTTCCTTCTTTCTTTCCTTCTTTCCTTCCTTCCCGCTTTCTGTCTGTCTGTCTTCCTTCTTTCCTTTTCTAACAACCCTCAATGATTTCCCCTTCCTCCCTCCCTCCCTCTCTCCTTCGGGGTCTCACTGTATGGGCCAGGCTGGAGTGCCAACTCCAGTGAAATGATCACAGCACACCGCTGCCTCGACCTGCTGGACTCAGGCAATCCTTCCACCTCAGCTTTCCAAGTAGCTGGAACTACAGGCAAATGCCACCACGCCCAGCTAATTTTTTGATTTATTGTAGAGATGATGTCTCATCATGTTGCCCAGGCTGGTCTCGAACCCACAGGCTCAGGCAATCTTCTCGCCTCAGCCTCGCAAAGTACTGAGATTGCAGGCTTGAGCCACCGCGCCAGGGCTTATTTTTATTTTTTTACTCTTTTTTGAGTCGGAGTCTCACTCAGTCACCCAGACTGGAGTGCAGAGGCACACTCAGGGCCACTGCAACCTCAACCTGCTGGGCTCAGGTGATCCTTCAGCCTCAGGCATCCAAGTAGCTGGAACTACAGGTGTGCATCACCACCACACCTAGGTATTTTTTTTTTTTTTTTTG